AGAGTTATTGTTTAAGCTCTTATAAAACGTGTTATGTCACCACAAAAGCATGTTTGCTTTTCTGTTTTCATATCTGTCATTGTGTGGCTATCACAAGGCCCGTTGCTTTTCACACATCGACCTTCAACCCCTGATTACAGCTGAGCCCTGCATCCACTCACATATATATACAGCTCATATTTAGACTTTAGGTAAAGACAAACGAGTCTATTACTGTTTGTTTATTATAAAAGTATCGGTAAAGCCATAGGGTTAAGTTATGTATCCACTAATTGGTCGTTTTGGTCTACTAAGTCATTGTCTATTGTTTTTTCATGCTGAATGGCTTTTTTCAAGCACATTTCGGGCCATAACAAACTTTAAAGTCGTTTTCGTTGAATAATTAGTTAGTTGTATGGCTTTTTCATCCTTAATGGCGTAGTTAAGGTTATTTATGGGCATATTTCTCATAAAAACAAACCCTAAAGTGGTGCGTTTGCTTGTCTTTGTAGAGTTTTACATGGTGATTAAATCAACTAATTTAAGACATCGTGTGAGTGTTAATAGAGAATAATGTATGTTATATGACGTCAGAAGTATCATTTAAGAAGCACATTTCTGCTAAACACACACGTTAAAGTGCGTTTGCTTAATTCGTAATGGAGTTTTAGGTTAAATCAACTAAAGTGCTTATAGAGAAGTATTCCCTGGTTGTTTGGTTTACCACTCATTTGGATCTCTTTGCGGCCCTCAGGGAATAACGTTTTTCTAAATTGGGTGCCACAGCAGAAACATAACAAGAGCTGACATGTTTGTAACTGTCAATCTGAGTTTGGCGTCTTTAGGTTAGTTTCGCTGTTTACACCGTTATTTAAATGACAACTAAATGAAGCCCACCTCTGTCCCAACTACTCCTCTCGAGAACAATCTCCATTGTTGCCATCGGAGGGTTTTTTATTGTAAGATCACGTCGGTTTCAGATAACAAATAACGGACTACACCCTAAACCTCTCTCTCTCTTTCTCTCCCCCTCCCCCCTGTCTCCCTGTCTCTTTGCCTCCACATCTCATCACCGTTAACTTGTAATCATTGACTTTTACATCCTCTCTGGTGTTTGCACCCGGAACATTTTTAAAGAACTGTACCCACTGCAGCTACTTTCCAAGGGTGTTTCAATAAAAAAAGAACCATGCCAAAACATATCGCAATGGATGCATGAGGGTATTTCTGGAGTCACTAAAAGCTTCTGTAAAGCTTTTTTAATATAACTTTACGCACCGGAAATGAACGGTTAACTATTCTTAGAGCCACGTTTACTTACTTTACTCGATTGATTTCTGCTAACTGTTTTTTATACCGTTGTTGACCCAGTTTACACGCAAAACATGAGAATCAAATAACATTTTTCTTTGAAATATCTATTGTTTGAACCATAGACTGTGTATATATAAAGGTTTGAACACATTAAAAATGCATTTCAGTGCGTAATTACGCATCACTAAGACTGAACTTAAAGCCCCGAAACTGTCTCACCCTTAGTTCTCGGTATGTGCCGTTACTTGACGTACCTGCCAGACGTGTGTGTGGGTGACTTAAGGACACACACACACACACACACACACACACACACACGCACACACGCACACTCAGAGGTATGATAATTACAGTCAGAAACAGGCTTGTTGAATACTTTTATGGTTTGCCAGATGCCATCAGTTTCAAAACTTTTGTGTGTGTGGGTGTGTTTGTGTTTGTATGGGGTTTGTTTGTGTGTCTGTTGGAGTTTATTTGTATCTCCTAATCCACAACCATGTGCCGGGGCTTGTTTCTGAAGAATCATCAGTCTGAAATCAACCACTAACTCAAACACACATACCAGGTGTATTACCTGAGATTTCAACATTAGTCAGAATATTTATTTGTTTAATTAAGAACGACGGAGAAAAAAGAAAAGCTAATTTAAATACATGGGGGAAATTAAAAAGGTACAGAAAAGTTATTAACATCACTGTCATTAATGCATATAGCTCTCAGCACAGGTTTTTAAAGATAGTATTAAAACGTTATCTGTTTGGGATCATCAGGGCTTCGTGATTTAAAAAAAAACAATAACATTTGAACAGACATTTTAGGCCCATTCGTTTTGTTGAGAGGATTGATACCACTGAAATGTATTTTTTTGTTAAAGATCAAGCTACGGTTAGCCTAGCTTAGCATAAAGGAACAGTCAGCCAGCTGTTACAAGTTGTTATGCTAAGCTAACTAGCTCCTGGCTTTAGCTTCATATTTCACAATGAGAGTGATATGGATTTTCTCATTACATTTTTGAAAAGAAGGCAAATAAGGGCAAGCCTAATATTTAGTTTAACATCAAAATAGTGCCAGTCCCATTCCATCCTGAGGCTGCAACGAAGTTAATGTTTATTGGATGGGAGGAAATGTAACGGACCCAAAAGACAGCCTACTGCTTCAGCCAGTACGCCTTCAACAAACACACGCACACACACACACACACACACACACACACACACACACACACACACACACACACACACACACACACACACACACACACACACACACACACACACACACACTCACAGAAGCATACACACACATTTCATTCATAGGTGAGGGGGAAGGAGGGGAGGACAAACAATACAAGATGAGATTAAATGTCCGGACAGCAGCCGTCTCCACAGAAACACACAGAGGAACTGAGACAGATTTAAAGTGGTTAATTATCATTTAAACAGTTGGTAACTAAAATAAAATGATCTGGTTTCCATAAAGTATGTTTCCCTGACAAAACATGCATCATTTCTTGTAGGACACACGGCTATTAACACTTACTTTATTATAACAACAAGGCCCAGTAAGCTCTACGTTTTGACATTAGCTGTTTTCCAGCTTTGCATTCGGTAATATGTTATCCGTTATGTTTGTAAAGTTAAGAATAGTCCTGGATTCAGTTTCACTTCCTGATAAATGGCTGACTTACAACATGGTGTTTTGCTTCATCTACACAGCAACACACTTTGATAACTGTGTGTGTATATTCTGTTAGCTTAATCTTAATTGCCACAGTAAGAATTTCCATGTGAGGATAAAGACTTTAGTGTCTTGTCACATAGACCTGTCAGAATCCCGTTACCTCGGCTGCTCTCAGATCAGCCTTATGTCCCTCCATCTGCACAGCTCTCTGTGTGACTCCATTTGCATCTGTATTTGAGTTTTATCTGATGGAGGCCGTGCAGAGGCAACTGATTGGTCGTCTGTTCAGAGCTCAGCCACACCTGCCACACACACGCACAAAGACACGCACACACACCTGTCTATTTGAGTGTCAAGGGTTTCTATGAACCTAAATCCCTCTCTGTCTCCTTATCAAAAGAGTTATTATTTAATATATTGTGCACACACACACACACACACACACACACACACACACACACACACACACCCTGCGGAGGTTGATTGTTTGAGGAAGGTACAGAGCTGGTGGTGCAAGACTGTCTGGTCAAACGAGTCTGTGTGTGTGTGTGTGTGTGTGTGTGTGTGTGTGTGTGTGTGTGTGTGTGTGTGTGTGTGTGTGTGTGTGTGTGTGTGTGTGTGTGTGTGTGTGTGTGTGTGTGAACATGTGAGTGCATGCAAAATGATTCGCACAAAACAATACGCCAAACGTGTGCACACCCACACCCAAACACAAACACACACACACACATATTTAGCCCTGTGTGTTTGCTAATTGAGGGATTGTGCAAATATGAAGCCGGCTGCACATTCACTGTGAAATAAATATTGACCTTGGTTTCTTTTTCCCAATCCTCTCTCCCCCTCTATTCATATTTCATATTTATTAAAACCCAGCCTGCGAAATGTTGTTGTTCCTGAGTACGTATGATGACAATCAGAAACGTATAAATATTTCATTAAAATCTTGGGAAATTGGGTTTTACGATGGTTGTTCCCTTTAAGAATGGAATAAATAAAATAAAATATTATGTAAAGATAAATTAACAAAGAAAATAAAGTAAAATGTCCATTAAAAAAACTAAAATATAATAAAAAAGAATACTATGGTTCTCTCAGATTTGTATTAATGTTGTAATCTCTCCATGTATTGAATGTGATTTAGCAACGGACAGAAAGGTCAATAATCTGTACTAATCAGTTTTTAATGAAAGTATATTTAGTTGTTTTCTGCAGTTTAAAGAGGAGACTTTGTACTGTTTCTGATTTTATGTGAAGCGTGTTTGAGCACCAGGAAAAGCGCTCTACAAATGTAATCTAATATTATAATCTGACTCTCTCTCTCTCTCCCTCCAGTCCACAGGTTCCCTCCCTCCTTCCTGGTGGAGGTGGAAGCGAGTCCCGCAGAGGCCTTGCCGCTCTGCCTCACCAAACACTCTCTCTCCGACACACACACACATCTCTCCGACACACACACACACCTCTCCGACACACACACACACCTCTCCGACACACACACACATCTCTCCGACACACACACACATCTCCCCGACACACACACACATCTCTCCGACACACACACACACCTCTCCGACACACACACACATCTCTCCGACACACACACACACGCCGAGCTGCCGTCCTGCACCGCTCTGGGCCGACATCCGGAGCAGTGCACCGACATCAGGAGGAGNGGTGAGGACACAAGGGGAGAGGACACAAGGGGTGAGGACACAAGGGGAGCGGACACAAGGGGTGAGGACACAAGGGGAGAGGACACAAGGGGAGTGGACACAAGGGGTGAGGACACAAGGGGAGAGGGCACAAGGGGTGAGGACCCAAGGGGTGAGGACCCAAGGGGTGAGGACACAAGGGGTGAGGACCCAAGGGGAGAGGACACGAGGGGAGAAGGCACAAGGGGGGAGGACACAAGGGGAGAGGACACAAGGGGAGAGGGCACAAGGGGGAGAGGACACAAGGGGAGAGGGCACAAGGGGGGAGGACCCAAGGGGAGAAGGCACAAGGGGTGAGGACGCAAGGGGTGACGAATGACGACACAAGTGAGGGGACACAAGCAGTTTTAGTAGTTTTTTTCTTCCATAAATGAACATCAGCAGCTCTTTAAGTGTGCACAAGGGGTGAGAACACAAGGGGTGAGGACACAAGGGGTGAGGACACAAGGGGGGAGCCCACAAGGGGTGAGGACACAAGGGGGCAGTACACAAGGGGGGAGAACACAAGGGGTCAGTACACAAGGGGTGAGGACACAAGGGGGCAGTACACAAGGGGGGAGAACACAAGGGGTGAGGACACAAGGGGGCAGTACACAAGTGGTCAGTACACAAGGGGTGAGGACACAAGGGGTCAGTACACAAGGGGGGAGCCCACAAGGGGTGAGGACACAAGGCAGTACACAAGGGGGGAGAACACAAGGGGTGAGGACACAAGGGGTGAGGACACAAGGGGGCAGTACACAAGTGGGGAGCCCACAAGGGGTCAGTACACAAGGGGTGAGGACACAAGGGGGGAGGACACAAGGGGTGTTTCTTATCAAACCAACTGCTCTATAACTGCAGCGCTACATATTCCTCCCTCTCTTCTCTTCAGGTGACTACAGGTGAGCTTCCTCCCGATCCCTCTCTCCTTCCTCTCTCTGTTGCCGCCCCTCCATCCCTCACTCCCAACGCCACGGTGATGCCCGTTGCCTTGACGACCTCTGACCCCATGGAGGCAGTCTCCATGGTGACCAGGTCGACAGGTCAGAGCTCCCCGACGGCGCAGTACATGTGCCAGGTGTGTAGTATTTTGATTGACATACTTCTGACCTGAGCTCCTCCAACAACGCAACATATATAATAAAATACTAAATAGTGCAAGAAGTCTATATACATGTAAATAGAATATGATATGTACAAGAACAGAGTATGAAATTAAATAATGACCTGAGCTCCTCCAACAGAATCAGAAACAGGTTTATCAGCAGGTCGGTTGACACACGTACGAGGAATTTGACTTGTTGTCATGGTGCATACATAACAGTAAAACAAAAATGTAAAACACAGATAGAGAACTATTTTAAGAAAACTAACATTACAAAATATAAAGTAACATAAAAATAAATATAGTCAAATATAGCAGTATTTAAACGTCACCTATCATGCTATTTGTAGGCAATAGCATAGGTCTCAGATATATACAAATATATAAAAAACATGTCTATGAAGTGTTTTGCTCCAAATACCAAACAGATCACCCATTCTAGCCATGCCTCATATCCCTCTATTTCACTTCCTGTTTCAAAAGTGCTGATTTGGGGTATATAGCTTTAAAATAAAAAACGTGGGG